AACGGCTCAGACCTGCTCTCTGATGTGGTAGCTTTAGAGGAAGTTTTAATGACGTCATTTTTGAGGTGATAAGTTGAAGCTTTTTTTTCTCCGACCTGTAAAGGGAAATGAATCAGTTTGAGTATCGCATATTTTGATTTCCGCCATATTCCTTTGGAGTTTCAATCCGTGCAGCAACTGGCTGACTCCAATGGTAAGCTTGCTGTACCTGCTTGATGTGAAAATGTGGATTGTATGAAATGGTAAACGAAGAACACAAATTGCAGCTTGCCTGATGTTCCGTTGAAATATAATATAGTGTCAGAGAGCAGGATATGACAAGTGGCACTTGGACGTTTGGTGAAGCCGCCTTTGTGAAGTCGCCTGGAAGCGGTCTTGCATGACAATCCTCCAGGTAAGCCAAGATTTGATCGCTGAAGTGGGTAATTGAAGACGAGCTTCAAAATCTACAGAGCCTAGATATGGTTTATTACAAACTTCCAAAGTGATGGCAATGGAATTGGTTCTTAAATTTTAATATTCTATTATCCTTCGTAAAGAAAAAAAGTTTCTAATTTCTCTAGCCTCTGAATTTTTTGAAAGTGATTTTTCACTGAAATGTTTCGTCATGTTGGCATGGGTTCGCTGTTAATCTGCGGGGTGTTTCTCAAGGTATATCACTGGGACTCGAAAAAGTAATAATGTGAAATCAGTGGAACAACGACCCGTGTTTACTCAGATCGACAATTAGCGCTTATGGTTAGACACTGACGAGCATCGGGTGATTACAGGCTGTTGTTCGTATGACTAGGAGGTGAAACGGACCATGATAGGGAACGCTGTTTTTTCTAGTATAGCTTTTCGTCATTAATTTGTTTTTGTTTTTGAAGTATAGTTTTTCATGGTTTACGGGAGTTTGAAATACCCGTCGATTGTCAGGTTGCATTGTAATGTGNTTTGAACAAAGTTCACTTGAGAAGTTCATTGGCGATTTTGAGTTGTAGGAAATAACGGGACCCTAGACCTTTGAAAGTTTTCAAAGAATCGCAAGACGCAGGAACCTGATCGATACCACGTAGGATAACAGGTTACCATTTCAACTTTTCAGGAACCATTGCAAAAAGTGTTACGGATCAAAAGATCAGCTCGCCCATTCAACCTGTCCCATCTGACACAGCTCTCTTCCTTCTCCCACCCAGTACTTACTTAGGTAGCCTCTCTCGTCCTCGAATTCGTCCCTAAATTCCGTATATTGGTGCCTAGCGTTGCTCTGTATTTGCCTATTGCCATCTAGTACGTTCTAATATCCATCGCATCTTTTCTACTATCGCAATTCGAATGGAATAACAGAAGTTCTAGAAGTACTTGGAGTTAATCAAGAATTCTTTCTGCCGTAATCGTACTCTGGTTTAAATCATTTACCTTTTTTGGTTTATCGTATCTTCTTCTTCTTATTCTACTTTTGTTGCTTTACATTCCATAGTGATTCTCAAACTGTTTCTCTTCACAGCGGTCAGATGTATATCCTCGGCAGATCACCTCATTGCTTTCACTCTACTTTTTTACTGATCAGCTAATAAAATAACTCCTGTCCCTAGAGGTTAGTTGGGAAATTTGACGAGAGAGAAAATTATTCGACGACTCTATCAATTTTAAGAAGAACTATCAATGTCGACAGAGTTCTGTCTCAATTAGAAGAAAAATCCTCCACCACGGTCGCAGAACTCGAAGAACCACAAGAGGTAGAAACCGATTAAGTAGGGCATTGTAGGAGCAGCTCATAGCCCAAATCGAATTTTAGTTAAGTGAGTCCTGGTGTCCAAAAAGCAGCTTCTGGCATCCCTATACAGTATCTCGTCGTAAACAGCTAATCCAAAGTTTTTTTTTTGATGGAGTCTTTTTCTTTTGAGAAATTTCTCTTCACTCGTCAAACCGTCATAGCCCTGGCTTCTCCCCGATTACCGTCCACAGCTGAGCGAAATAGGGAAAAAACTGATGCCAGTGTCGTGGGTTGTCGACGAATTCGGAAAGCAGATAGAAGCCTGTCTTTACAGTATCTCAACTTAGGGCTAGTCGGTTAAAAAATTTAGTATCCTTTTTCATGAAAAATTTTTTTGATGGAAGACACAGTGTGGAAAAAGGTTCTCTCACCTAGTGTTACAACAACAAGTGGGTTTCGATTTTGATACGATCAGTGTTTGTCTGCGGAGAGCAGTGATGTGTTACTGCCTTCCCTGAGTCATTGTTGTCATTGTATCAAATTTGATTATTCATGCACCTGAGAAAGCACTGGACTACTTAAATTTCTATTTTTTCAGAGCTCTTGAAATAATCAAACATGGGACATGGATCAAGTTTCCCTCAGCCCTGTGGAGATTCTCGTGTGGTTAAGACGAAGTTTGGCTACATCATTGGAAGGCGATTCGTTTTTGGCAACTTGGAGGTATGATAAATCTGGCTAAATGATTGAATTTTCAATCACAAGTTCAAGTTCGACTGGCCCATTGCCAATATCACTGACATGCATGAATGATAACGATCAATGACAATCAATTATAAACTGTTCCCATGAAGCGAAGGGATTCACTGTAGAGTCTCCAACTTCTCTTTTATAGGAACCCCGACATGTTGTTGTTTACTATGGCAGTTTCTCCTTCCATGCAGGTTTCATTGTAAGGCTGATCATTTCAACGGCCTACCGTTACGACGTTATTGTCTTGTTCAGGGACCAAGCTTCTATGGTTTGGCCGGAGAAATCCGCTGCCACTCATGGGCAAAGATTGGCAGCGAATAACTGAAACTTGGCCGTCACACGTACGGCCGAATTTTCAGGTGTTCGCCACTAATCATATACGGCACTACGAAGCTCTTGAAAAAAGCTTTTGGACAAGCCCATGGGTTCCATCGGATAGGTGGATTGGTGGATGGTCCTCCCGAACGAAATCCGAGTGAGGACGCCCAGTTCTAGTTACCGTTCTCATAACTCAGGGGCCTCGGAATCTGACAAATCTTCAGTTTGTCTTGTACTGGTCTGGGAGCCTCAGTGACTGCTTAATATTACTAAAACCGAAGTTATACTCTATTCCAGGTCGACGCGTTTCAAGGAATCCCATTTGCTAAGCCACCTGTGGGGGAACTGCGATTCCAGGTGCATTTCCTGGAATTCCTACGTAAATACGAATGTAACGAAGGAATTTCAGAAACCTGAATGGCCAGAACCATGGGATGACGTGAAGGTAACCAAAGGATTTGCGGCAAGAGGAATTCAGAAAGATGTGCACTACTTTGAGACACTGAAGGTTACTTCCGTTTGAAACTAAATTTCCAAGATACAGGCTTCCAACCTCACTTGGGGCCAGACTGATCAGTCACTAAAAATCCTTAAGATTGAGGAATTGAGTAAGGAACTCCATCACACTCATGCTTCCCTTTATGCCGAGATCAATCGAGGTTGATCACGGCCCATCTCAAGTACTTTTTTTTTACTTAAGTAAACTATGTTTTTATTTACAGCTAGGGAAGACATCGGAAGATAATCTCTATTTGAATGTGTTCACGCCGGCATGGAGCCCGGATATTGGCTCACCAGGATTCGCCGTCCTCGTGTTCATCCATGGAGGTGGCTTCATCTGCGACAGTGCGGTGAAGTATGGCGATGTCGGTATCTGCGAGCACCTGGTACAAAATTTATGATTTTGTGAATTTCTACCTCTCCACGGGCGAACAGCAAAGAGGTTATGGTCTTCCTGTCTCTTGAAGACCAAGCGATCTGTTTAGTGTACAAAAGATGTGGTCGTTGTGACTGTCCAATATCGTCTTGGATTTCTTGGCTTCTTCTCCACTGGAGACGAACATTTTCCGGGAAATCTTGCCCTCTGGGATCAAACCCTTGCTCTCAGATGGATTCAGGTGAATTTTCTCATAAAAAGATTTGATTTACAAAATGAAAAAGACTTGAAATTGTAATAACTCCAACTGCTCGACTTGGCTTTATCGCAAGGCGTTCTGGTTGCAAATACACCTATGTCTCTATTCCCTATAAAGACATTACATAAAGAATTATTCGGAATTAATTCTAGCTCGTTGAGAGCTGTGTTGTCGACACTTTCATCCTTTCTAACGTCAGTTCAGTGGTAGGGGTGAGATGGAGTCAAGAAGTGCCGTCTCTACACTATCAGCTAAAAAAAGTGCTCCGGCTCCATACTCTTCCACGGCTACTGGCCCCTCTTCTTACCCGGCTCGATTGTACGGGCCGACCCCTTCCGGGATCATAAGGACATTGACATGTTCATATCGTACCTCCAAAAGTTATTGTATGGGACAAACACTTATTCAGCGTCTTCCATTTCTGGGTTCAAGTTAATCGTCTTGGTGCATCAAAAACAAGGGTTTGTTAGGAGCCATAAACTTCAATATTAATTATTTTATTTGCGAAACTTTAACATACAGAAAAGAAGTTCACTGTTTAGGAGAACATTGCTCTTTTCAATGGCGATCCCAACAACGTGACGGTCATGGGCCAGTCCGCCGGTGGAGCCTGTGTCGATCTTTTGAGTATCTGCCCCCATTCGAGAGGTCGGTTATCTTGAGCTCCTCTTTTTCCTACATTTTCTGAATATGAGACGTAATTTCGAGGTAGAACAGTTTTTGACTCAATCAAAATCCCCAAATGGTCAGTTTTCTTTTTTCACAAAAATTCGGGTCACTGCCAGTTCGTTAGAATGCGTCAGACACTGACTGAGTCGATACTGTGATCCTTCCAGACAAATCACCAATAAAACGATTCAGAAGGGTTTGAAACTGGGGTGGATTGAGCTGGTATCTACTTGGAACCCTCTACTCTCAGACCGTGCTCATGGCTTAGACGCCTTTAAAGGCACGGTTTACGATAAAAAAAAGATTACTGAGTTTTTCCTTTAGGAATACTCAGCGCCGCCCATGCATGGTAGAAGGGACCCTCTCGCTTCCACAATCTTGGCGCTTAGGACATAGTGGAAGCCCCGTTGTTGCCGTAGTTCGCTTTCCCGCCCCTCAATCGGTGTCACGTTAGACGAGTGTCGAGACAATACAGATTGCTATTATTCGTTCTAGGACCCACGCACAATCAGCTAATCGCCGAGTGATGAGGCGATGTTTTTCTCCCATTCCTTTTTCCTCTGTTTTTCTT